TTTTTTTTTTTTTTTATAAATATACTTTGGGTATCATAATGGCAGCGTTAATGAACCTTACTTGGGATAAAAAATTCGATGCGAAAGCAAAGTTGCTGGTCCAAGACTAGATAAAATTTGATTTTACAAACGTTCTTAAAATACTGATGCGTGGAATGTGATGCGTAAAAACAGCTCATACAGAATACTCATCGATCGACAACCGAGCAGTACAATCGCGCAAGCAGTATTTTTATCTTGAATGATATTCTAAAAAAACCTCAATAAAATGGCAGGTAGCCAACTTAAAGATGCGCTCTGTTATGGATACAATTTTTTTGACAAACTACTTTTGGTTTTTACTCATCTACGCTTGATCCTTACTTCAACGCATTTTTTTTTGCCTATTACTTTCATAAATCAAGAACACTCGTAATACTTGTACAATTATTAAAGCTGAATAGTGAATAAATTCTTACTATTGCTTCAGTAGGCCCGGATGTATATTAATAAAGTATGATCTGGGCAACCATATTTGACGTTTGTTGAAAATAATACAGTACTGAAAGGATTCTCGCTTTTGTAAAAAAGCTGAGACACAAAGTAACTTCTACTCTCACCTCAGACTATGTATAGGGTGTTCAGCACGAGAACGTGATGATTATTTTTTGCAAGTGTTACGACGTATCCTTCAGAAGTAATTTTCAATCCACAACATCGAGACACCTGTAAAATTACGTTGAAAAATTTATATAAGTTGTTGGTATAAAAAACATTATTTATCCAGTACAAATTTACCTTAACGTATGGACATTCAAATTCAGAAATTAAAGAGCCATCCCGTGAAAAGACTGCCACGTGAAATCTATTTCCATGCGAGTCTCCAATTAAAACATCTCCTGCATCACTAATGTCAATTCCATTAGGAAAATTCGTTATATTTTCACAGCCAATGCGACGCAGGAATTGACCGTCTTCGTTGAATACCACTACACAGTGCCCTTTAAAGTCACACACGAAATATTCTTTTCCTAAAATACAATGAATTTTTTCAACAAAGTTCTTCAAAATTAAGGAGTAGAAGACTCGTTATATTACCACTAATAGCAATATCGCTGGGTTCCCTCATGTAATCACTGCAGTCAAACCATCTAAGAAGGTCTCCTGTATCACTGATAACAAAAACAGTTGGGGAAACACTATCCACAGCAACAATATGTCCATGACCTGTAACAGCTAGACCTGCTACAATGTCAATGTATCTGATTGCTATCTTTTTAATGAAATGTCCATTCTTGGTAAAAATTTGCATCCTAGATCGTTCATTTCCCCTATCACAAACAACAAATTTCCCACTGTTTCTCATAACAGCGACTTTGCGTGGGTACCACAATTGGCCTTCTTCTTTTCCAGGTATACCAAATTGGAACTTGAAAATGCCAGTCTTTTCAAATACCTGTAAATTGAGATGATAAATTAAATTTAAAAAAATCAAAGTAAATAGCAATATGTACGATACCTGTATGCGATGATTATTAGTATCAGCCACAATAATGTCTTCATCGGTTCCTAAACAGAACCCATGAGGAGAGTTGAATTGTCCCTTGCTAGGTCCCAATTGACCAAATTTGCAACGAATTTGCATGGGAGTTAGCTTAGGGTTTACAGATCGCGAGTGATTGCTGAAGTTACTTGTATTTGAATTGGCATTACTAGTATTGCCCATTACAACAGGCATGTTGTGCATGGAGTCTCCATTACCGTCATCTACAACAATGAGTTGATGTTAATACCTTTTTTTTTTTTTAAATCAATTCATGCAAGTAATGGAAAGTACCAGCTCCTTGTGACAATATAGGTGACGTAGAAGAAGAAATAGATTGAAAGCCATTCAAAAGCGCATTTCCAGTCAAAGACGCTAAATTTGGGGTATCTCCTACAACTGGTGAAGGTCCTCGTCCCAACACTAGATTGCTTCCATTGATTGAGGATGAATTTAAATCTATGATAAAAATGTATCAAGAAAAAATTGTGTGTACATAATTCATACGAAAAAACTCGTGAATTATAACTGATAAACAAAAACATACCTTGATTACCCAAGGAATTTCCAAGTTTTGCTAAGGCTTGCAGATTATTAATAGCATGACTAGTTGAGCTAAGGTCACCAGCAAAAAGATCAGCAAGAGTAAAGGACGGAGTTGGGCTGGGATTAGCGCTTGGTCCTACGACTCCCGTGTCACCCGAAATATCGACTTTTTCAGCAAGGCTTGCCAATTGCTGAAGATTGTACTCTTGAATGCTGGTAAGACCATGCATGGGACCTGAAGGAATGGAGACTGGAATAGACGGTGGGGGAGGAGGAATATTTGGACTCGACACAGGGGGAATCACAGAGTAAGTTGGATCACCTTCAAACGAAGATTGCATTGACGTTGGGAGTGAAATAGGTGAGCTCGCACTCAGTGAATTTGAACAATTCATAGGTGCCTGATTTACTGGCTGACTGGTAAGTCCAGGTAGACTATCAACGTTTCCCATTGGTGATTGTACAAGCGGTGGATGATTTCCAGCACAGACTTTTCCATACGCCTCCTGAGAGAGTAAGTTATTACTGTATAAATGGGCTGTAATAATATCAGAATACTCAATGAGTCATAACATATGATCTTACCCCAATTTTTTTCTCAAAATTATTGTAATCTGTCTGGAATTCTATAGATGACGACATGTTTGGTTTTGGCATGGTTTTCAATAAATCGGAGAGCTGATTAGTTACTATTCTATGAAGAGATAAAACCTCTATTGCATCTCCATGTTCAAGAAGACGATTAGTAAATTGACATGCACACTCAATTTTTTCAACAGTTTTTTCAATGCTAAAAACAAATGATTGACAATTATTTAATTGTTCCATTATTTTCAATTGTCAAGTTTTACGCATACCTATGAAATGAGTCCATTATCTCCAGTTCTCTCTCAGAATGTACTTTTTCTAGATCATCAAGAGCTTTATCTCTGTATTTTTCAAGAATCGCTTTGTAGCTTTGGAAAGTTTCCAGAATCAAATCTTTGGCTTGGTCACGTTGAGCTTGCAACTCACTCAGAGCATTTTCAAGCTGAGAAGATATATGATCACAATCACCTATTCTAGCTTTACTTTCATTTACTAAATTAACTAATTCTTCCTTTTGACGTGGTTCTGCATCTTTTATACGTTCATATTGATGTTCAGGTGCCTTGTGCTCAATGAGTAAGCACTCATTACAAATCGGAACCTGAAAAATTTATAAAAAAAAATTTATCTTGCAATTAAAAACTCCTCATCATAAATATTTCTATAATGATTTGGATTTCGAATTTAATGAGCTTTGGTAGCGAGATCTTTACTCTCCCTAGCTGTCATAGATTTAAAGCAAGAGCTAGTCAACATGCCACCCAACTTGTATTTAATCTGTTCATTATCAGTACACAATCGATTAATTAGGCAAAGGATTCGCGACTTGATGTTTACGTGAAATTTGCATTACATCATTGAAACAAACGTTTTAAAACACCATTATAGTTGAATCTTCTTACCTGGCATGTGTAACAATAAAACTTCATATTCTCCGATGGATGAGATTCACAAAAAATGGGTTTGTGAATAGGAGTTGCTTCTTCAGATCTTCTCAAGTCATCAAATCCAATGACCTTGTGATTCTCAAAGCAGCGCATAAACTGATGTGCAGTGTTACAATTTGGACATAGAAAGTTGGCACAATCGGAGCAACGAGCCACTGCATTTTCCATAGCCTTGCATGATGTACAAAGTACAGATGTATTTTTGATGGCAGACATGTCCAGAATATTTGTGAGAACGTAGTCGCAAGGTAGGGACGCTGCTCCCTTGGTGCCAACACGTGTTTCCTGCTGGCACATGGGACAGGCAATGACCATGCTTAATTTCAGTTCTCTATCCTTGGCATTGCAGTGTTCGTCAAGACAATTTTCGCAAAATACATGCAAGCAAGATAGAACACGTGGTGAGGTCAGCTTCTTGCAACAGATGCCGCAGTGATTATCATCAGCAGAGTCACCACCGCTGTAACTCATCTCCTCCAGGGAGTCCACTTGATTTCTTGAACCAAAGCTTGCACTTTTTTCCCCGTAGCTTTCGGATCCGTCGATTTCATCGCTCTTAACTGATCCGCTATGCGAGTTATTGACCGAGGTTGCGGAGCTTGTCCCATTAGGAACTGACAAAGATGTGGCAGCTGAAGATGCCATGGTTATTTCACGTCCACGTCTACTCAGCTGTGCGCACAGCTCTGAGAAAAGTCAAGTCTTGTAAAACAGACTCGATTCTGCTCCACCGTTTTTTTTTTTGTCTTCCTCTCAGTAAAAAAGAGATGTAGAGTTCATAGCACCTTGAAAAGCTACCGAAACTTGGAGCCTATACACTATAACACATACATACCAATTTTATAAAAAAAATTATCGAAAGACGCGTTGGCGAGAAAATAAAAAGCCGAACAGTGGTGCAGCAAAGAGAGAACTCGAACAGCCGTTTACCGTCGATCGAATGTCAATCAAAAGAAAACTAAAACAAGACAAGAAGGATACTTGAATAACAAAAGAAGAACTTGGTCCGGTTTCCGGAAAAATAGTCGACTAGCGCAAGAACGGTGTAGTATATATAGTAGTAAGTATCCTTATCGCGTGTGTCGTGTGGTCGTGTGTGACAACGGGCATGATATTGATACCTATAGGTGTGTGGTGAGAGGGGTGGTGGGCGGCTGCTGCTGCGGGCGGTTCGGACGGTCGGACCTACCTCTCGGGGTAGCGACGAAGAAGGAGGCACTGTCGCCTGGTCGTGAGTGTGAAAAGAAAGAGAGAGTGCCAAGAAGGCACCCGTAGTCCCTGACCGTCCAAAATCCGAGCCAAAATTTATAGGTATATTGCAAAATTCACTTCCTAGTAGAAATGGGGAAAAAAAATTCTTGGTAATGGAGAGTACTCAATATTATGGCAAAATTGCGTCCTCTTGAGAGGAAGAGAGATGGAGAGAGACAGACAATTGAAGAGCGTTGCTTAGCTAGTTCGAGTAATAACTATGTGCGAGCTTGTTGAGTCGAGGAACAAAATTTTTTTCTTTTTCTTTTTTCTTTTCTTTCAGGTAAAAAAAAATATATTTGAGTGTATATTATTGACTTATGCTCGCACTTTGGGGTGGCTATGCACAACGTAACTAGTATGTTATACTTATACAGCCAATATATAAATATAAATATATAATAGGTACAGACGATGACGAGGGATGGAAACAAAAATTAAAAAAGGCACTCGCGTCACTCTTTCCCTTCGTCGGTCGGCGTGTGCGTGTGTACCACTGTACCCTTACCCTGTACTCCCTTGTATAGTGACACGTAATGAACGTGATAACTGATACTACTTACAGTATACTAAGTACTGCTGTATAAAATATAGGAGTACCATGTTATACATGTAAATATCTTGTGTACACCCACGTCGTTCTATTTCTATGTGTGTATATATATGTATATAGATCTGCAGGTTTCGCAAATTCGCACAGTGCAACAACAACACTATAGTCTTCAATCCTCGTACACAACTTGTTCCTTATATATCTTCTTGTTTCGGTTACTGATATATATATATATATATGCATATATGTGTGTGTGTCTACCTCTAATAATCATAGCAGTCCTCGAAGACGGTGCGGTTGACTTCCCCCGATTCAAATCGTACTGTTCGAATAGCAACTACGACGCCCACGACTGTTCTCAGCCTTGAAACTCCTTTTCTCAGGAGATGGTGAAGAGAGCCATCAGAGAAATAGGTATCCCCAGGTCCGCAAAACTGCAGTCATCCCGTGTAACTCGCGACACTACTCTAACTTATGTATAAGGTAGCAGCATGCACGATGCACTATGCAGCAAGCAGCAGCGATCGAGGGACGGCACAGAGCATCGCTATATCGCTATATATAAGTACTTGTATATATTAACATCAGTTGCGTCAGTGGAGCGTTGTGTCGACGGGTCTTCTCCGAACTGAATTTACCCTTTTTTTTAGTAACTGTACAAGCGAGGACACCCCCGTACGTACTAAGTATGTACACTTTATACAAATGTTGCTATAGAACTTTTCTTTTCAGACCATCAGCACACCCACTCTGGAATTTATTCGTATACCTACTTAATTCATTAATCAGTCACTGTGACGAATCCAATATATATATATATAGGGGGCATATAAAAGTAGGTGGGCTACAACACGGCTTAAGGAGTTTTCTGATTGGTCGAAACTTCCTAATTCGGCTTTTTCTCACACGCAGTGAAAAAAAGTTCACGGAAAAAGAGTAACCCCTGCTAAGTACTGTATTAATACTGTCATCCACCACAATCACCTGCAAATACCAAAATTCCTCTAAAAAGTCTTTTGGAAACTGCGACAGTTTGGCTCCTCCCCCCGACATCCATGCCACCCGCTTCCTATTTTAATAACACGCAGTGATAGAGATTAATTGAAGAAAGAGGGAACGGATATGGATTTCGAATTTAATGAGCTTTGGTAGCGAGATCTTTACTCTCCCTAGCTGTCATAGATTTAAAGCAAGAGCTAGTCAACATGCCACCCAACTTGTATTTAATCTGTTCATTATCAGNTATTTTGTATAGTTTCTATTTTATTTTATATATAACTCTAAACATTGTAATATTCACATAAACACTATCTAAGATTATAAAGTGTACTTTTATACAAGTACACTTGCAAATGTTCCACTACATAGTCTTTTAAACTTTACTTGCACGTAAATAATGCTAAGGAATACAATGTACTTTGGAATAGTTCATAAAAATTTATGTATTTTACAAATTGCAAAAATTTTCAATAAATTGGCTGAATGGCGTTTTTCCTTACTGCAGTTTAAAAAAAGTTTCTATTAAATACATATTTTAAAATACTTAATTTCATATTTGTATATAATTAAAGAAAAAAAAAATTTCTGATGAGAAAATTTATCGAAAATAATTTTATAGAGTGTAAACTTGATATTTTTTCAAAAGTAATTTCATTGTGAAGTAATAGTCATTGTGACATCTGCCGTTATACGTGATTATTAAACATTAGTAAAAAAATACGGACTATGAAACCGACCATATTATATTTTTCGAATATACTGGGATATATGCTATATGATAAATTCGATGAATTTAAGTAGTTTACAATCAACCTAAAAATTTTTATTGAAATTTATAAAATCTGTAAAAATCCCTGCTAATAATAATTCTCAAGAATTTCATTATAAGAGCAAAGCAATATAATTGATTATTAAATGCGTAACATACATGTTTAGATGGGTAATTTTGAAAAGTATTTATACTTCAAAAAAATACATATTTTTGCAAATAAAAAAAAATCTTCGATTTAAAAATTTTTTTAACCAATGAAACTTATCAAACAAAGATGTAATAATACTAGTGTGTTTATAGTAGTAATTAAAGTAAATGTTAAATTTACTTAATTCATTATTTTCAGCAGGGAAGTTATAAAAATTTATAAAAATATTTACCACGTAAATCACGAAAAATTTTGGATACATAAAACCTTATAAAATTTAGACTTTTTGTTTACGATTTAACTTTTAAGGTCTTTTTCCTAAAAGTACATAAATTATAATTTGAATACAGAATTATGTATAAAGTATTATCACAAACTTTTTTCAACCGGTGTTTCTTGTTAAGAATTTTTTTTATTGTTAATAAAATTATCATATTTTATAAGTCCTTTGCAACTGGGTGAGCATGTTGTTAAACGAAACTCACGCTTAATTAAAAAAACATTTTTCAAGTAACTTATAATGA